TGCAGCTGCCGCCGCCTCCCACGCAGCGCGACTGGGGGCCGCGGGAGCGGCATCTGGGTCACACGCCCCTCTGGGCTCTCGGGATGCCGCTCGGGCCTCCCCAGAAGGCCCCAGACCTGCTGCGCTTCAGCTCGGCTGAAGGAGAGGTGTTTGCTCGCACCCCAGGAGTTTCCATCACTGGGAAGAGGCTCGGGGCTTTTCCTGCCCAAACTGACCGAAATCGCCCCCAGCCCATCTGCTCCACCTCTTAATGGTTTCCTGTTCCAGAGGCCCTCTTGGAATGGAGGGGGTTCGCTGGGTTGCACTGAGAACCATTCATCTGGCCAACACCCCAGAGGTCCTGTTCAGGCCCAGAGGTGGACTGGCCGGGTCAGCCAGGCCCCACCCTCCAGATGCTCAGCTTCCTTGCAGAGACACCGGTCAACAAATAACCTTAGGCAAGGTGACTCCCCTGCCATTTCAAATGCAAAGTGCCACCCATCTGAACGGGAGCCCGTGAGCTTATCTGGTCCACCTAACACTTCTCTTCCCCCTGGGTTCCCATCTCAGCAAAGCCACCCTGTCTTTCAGTTCTGCAAAGGGGACACCTGGCCACCATCATTGATGCCTCCTCGGTCCTCACCACACCTCCTCAAAACCTAAAATACATTTCACATCTGTCCTCCTCATCTCCACTATCATCTTTCATCTAACAATTGCAAGAATCTATTGTTGGGTCCCTTTGCACCCCACCTGTTACCCCCTACAGGCAGGCAGAATGATCCTTTTGCAAATCTGATCTTGTCACTCCCTTTAAAAACTCTTCAGGTATTTCCCAGAGCTTTTAGAATCAAGGCCACCATCTTTCAGGTGGCCCAGTCGGACCCTGTCGCCTCCTAGATTCAACTCTCTTTTGCTCTATGTGTTCCAGCCTGTGAATGTACTAACTCCTTCCTGCGGTTGCACATTCTGTTCCCCTAGCCTGGTCCACCCTGTCTCCCCACCCCCAAGCTCCAGCCCTGTTGCCTGATAATTTATACCACCCTCAGGTCTCAACTCAAATGTCACCTTCCTGGGGAAACCTTTTCTGACATTCCCCCCTCCTACTAGGTAGGTATCCCCTACTCTACACTCTCCCAGCATCCTGCATTCACAGCAGTTATGCCCCTTTGTTGTTTTATATTTACATGATTGTTGCTTAACGTCTGTCTCTCCAACAAGTCCATAAGCTCCACAAGGTCATGACCCATGTCTGTCTCATTCACTATTGTAGCCTCCGTACCCAGCAAGTGCTTGGAACTTGGCAGAGCTCATGGCTGAGCTCCCTCATGTTTAGCACTGCTGTCCTAGGCCTTTGTGGAAGGGGGTTATATGTGGCTCACCAGGAAGGCCCCAGCCCCCATGATTACTCCCTTGGTGTCAGAGGCTGGACAATTTTCCTCATCTGTTCAAAGACAGAAGGCTGCAGGAGAGACCAGATCAACATTTGTCAGATCCTGCTGCTACACCCTGGTTTTGTACAGCCACATCTGGAAAAGGATAGCTCTATCCAAACATCTGGACAAGAAGGGCTGGTAAGAGACCAGTGAAAGCTCCTGGGAGGGATGGCCCAGCAAGCCAGGTTCAGGGAACAGATGGCCAGATCCTGAGATCTGTAGGGCAGCTTGTTTACAGAGCTTCACTGGGGACAAGCCCCAAGAGCCAAGGTATGCTAAGAAACACAGCCTTTGTCCCCCCAGGCTGGATAAGGCATCTCTAGGGGTATTGGGTTAGCTCTGTGAACGTCACTGCCTCTGAGCCTGATCCCTCCTCAGGGACCATCTGTTGGAGCTGACGCACCCCTTCCAGGGCAGGTGGCTCTGCCATCCCTTTCTCCAGTCTCCTGGTCCCTTGTTCCCTGCAGTATTATCCCACTCCCATATCTAACAGGCAAACCTTACTTCACCGTTTTCCTGGCATCACTATGTACATTTCCCTCCTGTGAGCCTAGCAAAAGCCCCATTTTACAGAGGAGGATGCTGAGGCTCAGGAGCTAAGGCAGCTTGCCCAGCCTACGCAGCTGCTAAGGAGCAAAGCCAGCATGGGAATCCATGTCTTCTGGCTCCAAATTCAGCATTGTTTTCCTTCTTAATTCCCATTTCCTGTATGTCTGAATAGCTCTCCGGTCCCCTTATCCTTAAAACTCCCAAGAGCTCAGCCTAGCTCACTTCCAGGCTGTGATCTGGCCCTGACACTGACAGCAAGGAGGTGTGAGAGCTTCTTGGCTGACAGTCTGAAAATAAGGCAGATTTTCACAGACCCAGAGAAGACATGTTGACCACCAAGATCTGCTTCATGGACCTCAAGTGGTCCCTAGCCAGAACTCTGGGTGGTCTCTTGGGGTGGGGGCAGTTTTCTAGGTGGTCTGGCTGCCAGTCCTCATCACCCTCAGTGCTCACCCTCAGTTTACCCTTGGGAACTACCCTGTGGAGCCCTTGTAGATAATCCCACTCTTTTTGCATCAAAGGCAGAATAACAATGTCTTCAATGAAGGGATTTCGGACAGCACTGAGCCCACTGGTAAAATGAGGAAACTCAGAGAGGGGTAGGGATCCGCTCCAGGCCACACAGCAAATTAGAGGAAATTCCAAGTCTACTGGTTTTTAATCCAGTGCTCTTCCCAGTGCACCCCATATAGTCATTGTCACAACTTGTAAATTTCATAGCCAGTACTTTTTGTTCTAGACAGCATGTCCACATTTACTTGTCTCATTTATTGCACAATAGACCTAGGAGTTAAGTATTATTGGGGCAATTTCATATTTAGGAAAAATAATCATTTGATAGATGGAGTGACAGAACCACAGAGAGTTAAGAATCATGTCCAATAAGTCCAGTCTTCAGATTTCCAGTCTTTTCATGAGACTATGTGGCATTATGAACATGCACTGTCCAAATGAATGGCAACACCTTAGAGAGCAGCATTAATTGGAGGTTACCTTGCGCCAAAGCAGGGAGACATGCTTTGGATTCATTACTTCATCAAAGCCTCACCCTGTGAGGTAGGTATTAGCATCCCCATTTTGTAAGGGAGAAAACTGAGGTTTGAAAATCCCCAAGTGACTGGTGGTGAGAGTCAAACTCAGGTCCATCTGACTTCAAAGGCTATCCTGTGCCTTAAATCATGTAGGAACAATCCACAGACCCTGACCCACTGCCTGACATGTGGCAGGTACTCATTAAATGTTTGCAGAAGGGGAAGGGAGAGGCTATGTTCTCAGTTTGGTCCCAGCATGTGTCAGGGGGCTGGGTTCAGACAGGAGCTCTGTGGTGATTCCCACACATGAGACAGGATACCACCACCAGGCAGATGCCCACAGTGACATAGAACACACTCTGCTCTTTACTCTCACATCTCTGAATGTGGGGGGTTTGTGCCCTGCTTCTGACCCCCAGGGAGGCTGGCTGCCCCAGTCCTTTGGCCCTTGCCACTGTTTATCTGGCTGTCTTTGTACATGAAGCTCTTCTTCTCTGAGATTTCCCTGAGGGTAGACTGAGCAGGATACATCTGGGCTCCCCACGCCCAGCCCAGGGTCTGGGCCACAGCAGGCATCGTTCAGAGATCCCTGAATTGAAGCATTGATGTCTGCTTGGGGGAGGGCCCTCTGGTGAGTGCTACAAAGAGGGGTCTATAAGTCAGCTCTTCCAGATGTCCAACTGCTTTCTCTCCTCTGATGGGGTCTGCTCCTCTAAGGACTGAGACAGACTCTCAAAATGGGCTCTGGTTGAAAGGACAAAATGCTGCATAGGAAAAAAACTGCCCACTGATCCTTTAGGCCACAGCCCAAATGCCACCACCTTCAAGAAGCCCTCCCTGCCGCCTTTGGTTTTA